CTTAAGGAAGATTAGAGACTTTAACAGCTGGAACTTATGAAATTTATTCCTACTGAAGAAAATTCAGAAGCTAACAAGAATTTCGAAGTGTCAGATAAAGATACAGCAGACGCTGAAAAAAAAAAAAAAACGTAATTCAAGGTCAAAGTTGAGAAAGATGAACGGGAAGACTTACATTTCTGAAAACAGGAAAACCAGGCAGAGCAAGAAAGATCTGTGAGTTAGAACACGCTAATTTGGGAAATTCTGAAGTTTTTGCGGATATAAAAATTGTAGAAGAAGCTTTATCCAGACCCGGTGTAGAAAAATGGAGAGCAGCTGTGCAATTCCTTAATGAGGAACCACACGTAGGAATTAACCGATTTCCCAGAGAATAGAAAAACTTTTGGGTGCAGATGTGTATTCCGAATAAAGCAAAAGGTGGACGGCGCAGTGAGCGGTACAAAGCCAGACTCGTCATCAAAGGATGCTCCCAAACGTACGAAATTGATTATACGTAAGCTTTTTCACCCATTGTTTGCTACAACTCTATACGAATATTGCTTGCTTTAGCTGCCGAACAGGGTATGAAGATGCATCAAATGAATGTTCAAATAGCTTGTCTGAATGGGAAAACTGATGAAGAGAATTTCATGTCTCAACCAGAAAGTTTTGTAACTGCTGATAGCAAAGTTTGTAAGCTGATAAAAATCACAGATGCAAGCAGGACGAATGTAGAATTTAAAATTATATGATACTTTGCAGAATATAAAACTCAAAAAATTAACTTAAGATTACTGTATATATGTTCCAAAAGAAACAGAGGACTGTATCATAATTGTTATTAGTGTAGGTGATCTAACTATTCTAACTAAAAGTGAATCTTCTATGATCCATACTAAGAAAACGTCTCAGCAAAGCTTTTGAAATAAGGGATTTGAGTTAAATAAAACAGTGTTCAGGCATTAACATTGAACAAAATGAAAATGTATCAATTAGCCAAATTCGGTACGTAAAAGAACTCAATACGATATGCAAGAGTGGAAGCCTATATCAACACGGTTAGACCCTAACATTAAACTATGCGAATGATCAAACATCGCCAAAGAAAATGAAAGTATAAATCCTTAATCGGATCCTTAATTTATGTAGTTGTACCTATACGACCTGACATTGCAAATTCTGTTAGTGGACTAATCAATTTAACAGTAACCCGAAATACTTTCACTGGATTCAAGAAAAACGGGTACTACGATTCCTTAAATCAACATAAAAAGGAAAATAACTTATCATAAAACAAATGGAAATCTTAAATGTTATATAGGCGTGGGATAGACCGAAAATACAAGCAAAGAACTGCAGCGCTATCAAATACTGAAGCAGATTACATAGCGTTAACTGAAGCTTCAAAAGAAGAATGCATTAGCTTTTGCTAAAGAGAGCTAGGTTTTTCGGAGAAGATAGCAAAACAATTTGTGTTATATAATGACAATCAAAGTGCACAGCATTTAGTAAAAAATCCAGTTCATCATTCTCGAATAAAACACACTGATACTCATTTTCATTATATTAGAGAGTTGTATGACAAAAAGGAAACTGAGATTAAGTATATGTCTACAGCAGAAATGCCCGCCGATATTTTAACGAAGAAGTTTGGCAGAGACAAACAAAAACAACAATATATATATATATATATATATATGAATCTATTAGGTCTTGAACTTTAACTAATGAATGCTTTTTTTGTTTTATTTTTTTTAAACTCTGCTAAGGAGAGTGTTGGGAAAATCCGCATTTTATTTTGCGTCTGCGCAGTTCTGAATATCTGTAAAATTCTGAGGTATATAGTCCTTTGGTAGAAGCAAAGAAAGATGTGTGTGTCTGTGTGAAGTTCGCGTGTCATCCCAACATGCCTATTCGGCGTGTGCGTCGTCCCCATTATCGACGTGACTAGCGGCCGTGATTCTCTCCAGCGTGGTGTGGTAATCTAATGTATGGAATTATGACATGAAAAATAGCTGTCGAATGGAAATAGGAATCTAGCAGAGTGTCACGAACATCATTTACATGGAATATCGTATGGAATTATTGCAGTTAATTACCTGCCGACAAATAAGTCAAGTGTTAAGCATCTGTTATCTATCTTCCGTCTTTTTCATGTTATCGTTTTCCTCCCAAACATAGGCTGTTCATCTGTTCCGTTAAGCTCAATGAAAGCACCTATTAAAGATTATGTATGTGGAGATCATCGACGACCGATGCTGACTTAGAATACCTAGCGAGTTTACGTCATCATAGCTTAGCACAGTGCTGAGCAGTCGAGACAACGCCAGATAGCTTCCAGACGTGGAGAGGAGCGGAGGCATACAGACGGCTTGCAAATCCTCCAAGAGCTGGTGGAAACAGATGGTTTCCTTCGATGTTTAAGTTCCTTGTAGCCAAACTGATCATATTATCTAAAGCTAGCTGTGGATGTTAAGAGTATGTGAGAAATGTTCATCATTACATGAATTGTGTGAACTAACTAGCATGACATCACCTGCAATATTAATTTTTACTTAACTTACCTTTTATTACTTTTATATATTTATTATTAGTATAATAAGGCATTTAATAATGCAATAGACGTGCCCTCCTCGTGTGTGTTTTGAAAGAAAATACTACATGTATAACTTAAAATAAATACGAGCAGCTCATATGCTCCATATTTAGGCAACCACATTTTTCACTACGCTACTCTCAACATCACTCAAATTAAAATTCAACAGTAACTATAATACAAGAATAAAAAAAGATACTTTATTTTAATATTTTTTCTAAAATAGAAATTAACTTTAAAATTCTCATTAATATTTGATTACTGGCTGAGGTTTCTAGAAAATATCCGAATAAATAAGCCCATTGAATACTGATAGTCCTAAACGGCTAACATTGGCACGCGAACGGGGGGACTGTTTCAGCGTTTTTGTGACTTTTTCTATGTGTAACCTGAACAGGAACCAGTTTTCCTAAGAACGTCCTCGACGAAGGTATTCTTTCTGTAAGACCTCGTATGCTTGAGGGCAAATCAAATCGAAAATGAATAAATTGTAAACGATTTAAATAGAGATAGAATGAACACTATCTCGTATTTTACATTATTTTTCAGCTCGTTATTAATGCTTAACATTAATATTAATACATCGAATTTGGCACTCTTCTATTATCAGGATCGGATTCAGGAATTATGTATGTGGGCCCGCGTGTATGTGTGTGTATAAACATGTATGTACATATATAAACGCGTACATGTTCACGCATACATGAACACATCAGTCTATACATACAGTTCTAAATCTGGTCCCGATAACAGACGAGTACCTCAGATTTATGTAAGGTATCAAAGCAACGCGAAATGAAAACAGTAGCATTTCTGAAGCAATCAAATAACATTATGTATGCTATCTGCACTGGATTTATTACTGCAAGAAACACATTTTAAATATAGCTTTGCAATAAAAAATTGGAACTGTACGTGAATCTGAAGGCCCACTAGCAGTCGAGAGGTAAAGTCGCTAAATAGTTCGGTTTGAAGTTCGAGTCCCCGCGAACGGGCTGGTTGCATGAGCGTTCTCGTGATTTTGCCCATGTATAACGTATATACGAGCCAGTTTCCCTTAAAAAGTACTCCTGTTAGGCAGATAGCCCTCGAGTGCTTTGCCATAATTAAATAAACCAAACCAAAAGTAAATCTGTGTTTTTTAATAGTGATTAATCTTGTGTCAAACCCTGGGGAAACAAGCGGTTACATAGAATATTTTTGTCGTTTTCCCCATGTTTAAAGTATGTATGGGTTAAGTTTCCTTAAAATGTTCCTTTCCTTATGCAGGTAGCTCTGACACGTTGAATTAAGCAAACGTAACAGTACAACTATAATTTTTTTTTACAGCCGATAACAGATTATACTTCTTAAAAAGTTCATGGGAAATATTAAAATTTAGTTTTGAATTAAAGAGAAAAGAAAGAAGGTGGATCAAAACCAATCAAACCAGACAGTTAAAAATCAATTAATAAGAGATATAAGGTTTCAGAAATTTTTTTTCTTTCGCTACAGAAATGAAAGAAGTGATAGATGTGTCGATCTCACAAATAGAACAGAAATATGAAAAATTAAAAATGATATGTTTCGATTTTAATCTTTTAACTGGTGAGAAATTAATGCAGTTTGATTTAGTTCCATAAAAAAAAGCAGCTTTTATCTTGGCCCTTAAATATCCAAATGACATAAATGCTGAAGAAATTTCATCAGAAATATATATTTTTAAAACTATAATGCTCCAATTATTCTAAATACTAAAACAACTGCAATTGAGTTCTTTCAGAGTTAAGTCATAAATACAGCTTATTTCAATACTAGCCAAATTTAGAAGTTTTATTAAGAATATTTTTGATAGTTGCTATGAAAGAAGATTCAGCACACTTAAAATAATAATAAAAATTTTCTAAAATCTTCACTTGGTCAAAGAGAATTTTTAAACATCTTTATTACTATATAGGATATGAATTAAATATTCGATTAGATTTTGATAACATTGTTAATAATTTTGTTTTGTTTAAATTATAAAAAATGCTTCAAAGTTAGTTAAGAATTTTTTTATATTAATTACGATACTAATTATACCGCTTCAATGATGTTTTTTGTTTATCAAAAACGTATCTTTAAAACTTTTCATTAACTGCAAAGATTTAGAAATTTAGTTTCCTTTCTTCCTTTCCTTTCAACGGCGCACAAATCTAGCTTCTTGTCTGTACGTTTGATTGCTTTTCTTTTCAGATTTTGAAAGAAATAATAGTTTTGAATTCGAACAACTAAATTTCACTATGTTTTGAAAATGTTTAAGTGTATTGGTAACCTATGGCAAAGCCCTCAAGGGCTACTAACTTAAGGAGGTTAAAATGTTTAGATAATGTTACTTGGAAATACCTCCTAAATTCTCACTATAAATTAAGAAAGAATTGTACGATAGCAGTACGCATTTATATTACTTGACTCAAACACTTTTAGTCAGGGAATTACAACATGATTACAGAAATCTACATATGAAATGGTAATAAAATTCTGCTGATGTTACACAATATCGTCTTTCACTGGAGTTGTTTCCAGTACAGGTGAACAGTTATCAAAACGATTTACAGCGGGAACTGATGGAGAACGCCCCGACTGAAAGTTTATGAATGAAGTGGATGTGGCAAAACTTGTGCAGCTATCTCTAACGCCTCGATTACGATACAACTTTTCACCATCATGTGGAGAAGAACGACAACTCAGTGTCTGGTGCTGACCTCTGTTGATAGCTCTTCGAACCTTCCATCGCTCAAACCGATGGCGAAACGAGTTCTGAACCTATACGAAGAGAGGAAAAAATAATTAAATATGCATACAATTTCTCGTAAGCTATTCGTAATAGCTTAAGAGAATGAATAAGATAATTTAAGCAACCGATGTGGGATAATTCGGCTGCCTCTGTAGCTAAGCACTATTTTAGTCAGCATAATTTGTATATGTTTAAAAAGTAATTATTGGAAGCATTTTTTAAACATGAATCAATGCTATCTCGACTTTGAAAGAGTGTGGCATGCAGGCCTCCTGCATAAATTGAATAATTTTATGCTTCCAAACAGTTTCGTAAAACTCATTAGTTCCTATCTGAAAAACAGGACTTTTCAAGTTCGCTGCGGTGACGCCTTATCTGTCAGAAAAAGAATTCGTAGCGGGGTCCCGCAAGAATCCGTTCTTTCCCCCCGGCTCTATAATGTTTATATAAATGATTTCCCGCACCCATTCAACACGAAAATACTCAAATACGCTGACGACACTGTAGTACTGACTGAATCCAGAAGTCCCCAGCTCGCTCTAAGTAATTTACAAATGCATCTCAATATGATCAATCACTGGTGCAAGACTTCGAAATTAAGCTCAACGCCTCTTAAATGTTGTATTGTGCTCTATCAGGAGATACAAAACAAAATTAAGAGTCAATACTGATATCTACTTAGATAGAACTCTAATCCCTGTAGCTAATTCCTATAAATATTTAGGTGTTTACATAGATAAGTCTCTCAACTTCAAAGATCATATCTTTATATCTTAAACAAGCAAATGCAGCCTACATGGCAATTTATCCTATTATCGGCAAAAAATCGAAGCTCAGTCTAAAAATAAAGAAAATGCCTTACATATCTCTAATTCGACCGATCATGCTATGTGCAGTGCCGGCATGGGCAATCGCGAATAAAACTGAGCGCAAAAAATTGGATATACTTCAAAATAAAATTCTACGTAGCATTTTGAATGCACCTTGGTACGTGAGAAACTCTATAATTCATAACGGCCTGGATATTCCATCTGTGCATAACTTTATATTCATGACAGCTCCCAACTTCTTCGAGAAGATGAAGCATAGTCAGTATAACGCAATTAAACAAATGTTGGATTATGATACAACCATTGAATACACTGTCAAACGCCCAAGGACAATTCATCACAATTCGTCATGGTGGTAACTTGTGAATTTTAATTTTAAAATTTACTTGAACTCTGAAATTGGACTCTATCCTATTATTTGTGTTGCATCTTATGTTAATCAAGAAAATTTTTTATTCAAGATTTTTATGTCACTATTTCATTTTTTAAATTATTTTGTATGAATTTTTACCTTATCGTATGATTCTACGAACTTTTGAACTTTTTACGGCCTATCTAGCTACTGCATACTTCTGAAGGACTTTGAACGCTTATGCCATTCACAGCTTCAAACTGTCTTCGCGCTATTTTCATGATGTTTCACTATTGCTTATCCTGCATTCTTACTAGCTATATTGCACTCACCACCTGCATTTGCCATACAACTCACTGAACCTGCCTGCATGCTTCAATTTAATGCCATTGCTTACCACTGCACAATTTTTATGATGAACGCCTACTTTCTTAAGTATTAAGATATGCCTGCTCACGCAGCTGAATTTTCTTCGCCCACGGGTGTTGGTACTTCCCTAGTACCATTTATTTGAAAATATCTTTGCCTAGTGCACTTTAATGCGATCTACTGGTGAAAACTCTTTAGTAGTTAATGACCAGAAAAAAGTAAGTCATAAGTCATAAAATAAACATGAATCATACCTGAAATGATAGCAGAGACATTTTCTTAATGTCTCATTTCTCAAAACGTCTTTTTAAAGCCATTTTGCTGTTTTTATGTTGAGGAATGATTCAACATTTATTATTTCTTTGGCGGATATTTAGATTGGTCAGGAAACCCAAACGATAAATATACTGACGATTCCTTGAGGAAGATTATCATGAAATATGCTTTCGTTTTTTAACTGAATCTTAGAAATTTTGTAACTAATGGGAAAGGGAAATATCGTGGAAAAAAGTTATTGTATATATTTTAATGGAAATGTCTTCAGATAGAATAAGGGAAATAATCTTTAAAAGCTTTTTCAAACCTAAACGAAAAGGAAAGATATATATATCTCTAAAGTAATAAAGTTGTTAAATAAAAGTAAACTACAAAGAGAATAATTGAACCTATTGTTTCTCTTTATTTTCTTTACCTTTAATTACACATAAATAAAACTAATATGTGCATTGTAGTTTACCGTAAAAATACTTTTGATTGCTTTTCTTTTCAGATTAATTTTTGTCCATTTCTTAAAGGCGGAAAAAGGCCTTTTTTTACACTCGCTATTTTTTATTCTTTTAAAGGCGGAAAGAGGATGTTTAAATAATCGTTATTTTTATCCTGTAATCAAATACTACTCAAGAATTCAGTTATTTTAAATCTTTTGTTATCGATGAAAATTTCAGGGCTCTGTCACAACATGCATCTGTTTCGGACGAACACTGCAAGAAACGCGCGCGATTTTTTTCGCTCTTTCATAAAAAGTTGTAGATGGTGCGTTTTCACATGGTTTTCACCCAATGAGCATCAAGCTAGCAACTTGAATGGGAGTTTTTTTTTTTTTTTTTTTTTTTTTTTTTGCTAGTGTTTCAGTTTGTTAAGGAGAACTAGTTTCTTTTTTACATTGTAACTTCAAAAGGGATTCAGGGTGATTTGCTGCTTTATATCGTGTCACGAAGCAGAAACCTGCACTAAACAGCTGTTATCCCGAAATGTTTTGAGAGGGCCTTTAAAAATGTCTCTTAGATTAATAAGCAATAGCCTTCCAATAAAAACCACCATAAAATAAGCCTACTTATCACTGCTTTCTTCTCTTATACTATTTAACATGACAGGACAGGTTATCTACAGATTCAGTTTTCAAAAGGACCTTGGTATGCTATATTAAAGGAAATGCAATGCCTTTTGTATGTGAACTGTCATATGACTCAAATAGTAAGCTTAATATTACATATATCTCAGATCTGACAGCAAAGATTATTATGACAGGATCGTTTCTAAAGACAACCCAGCGTTAGATTTAGAACTGTCTGAAGATACACTCAGTTACCAGAAGACAATCAGGCTATTTTACAATTTTGATTTCTTTATAAATCACTGCACACTTTCAGGAATTCAAATCCATTCATAAGAACTAAATTTTCATTTCTAATAATTATTTGGTTTGCAACTGAACTATTAACTTAAATTATAATTTCTTTTTTTTTTATAAATTCATGTTATATTGTCTTAATAGCGCCGATAAAAAAATTGGTTAAGGTTACTTTCATATAAATCTTTTTGTATCATCAAGTGAATTTATTTTGTTTTCACGGCAGTAGGACAGAAATTTTGTTAATTAACTATTGCCTAATTCTTCTTTATGATTTCTCGTTAAATGTTCTCTTTAAAGTGTTGTAAAGTATCATTTAAGTTTCTAACACGTGATTTTATGTTAATTTCCTTTTCTATCAGCCTCGTTTCCATTTCCCTGCCAGAATGTAAATTTCTAGCTCTCGCGATATTCAAATTAGGTAGAAAGAAGAAAGCATTTAAAGGAAGGTTTTCGAGAGTAAAATCAGAATGTGTACTGCCTGCTTGAAGGCCACGTTGCTAACTTTGATTTTCCAGGGATCGGTATTCTGCGGCGTTGACTTATTCTCGCCATTAGGCTTGTTTACGCCGAGCTCTGTCAGAGCTAGCTTATACTGTGAAGCCGTTAGGCTATACTTAAATTTCATTAGTTTTATTCATTCGTCATCTTTGATTTAAAACTATTGGTTCCCGTAAGCACGAGCTGGAGTCGTCAGCTAAACCTTATTTGGATGAATAAAGGGTCCTTTACATACTTTTCTGTCTCTGTGTTCCTTACAAGACATAGTGCGAATTCGCTACTTGTCGTTTAGAGATCTGGTCTAATTTTATGCTACCTAAGAAGGACCCTATAGGGGCCCTATAGGGTTTTTCCAAATACATGAACTTCCTTTATCTCTATTTATCAAAACATAAATATAATGTCTAGTGAAACCTGCCATTTGCTTTGCAGTAGCTAACTAACCTACCCTGAAAATCGCATCTACTTAAGGATCTCTCAGGATATAAAGTCACATTTTCAAACACTCGTTCTTAATATTCAGAATTAAGACTACATAGATCATGCAGTATGATGATGAATTAACGTCTATACCATCCCTTCTAAGAAATCTGTTCAAAGGTGAAAATCAAACTGGCCTAAGCTACGCAAAGCTAATTTCAAGACTGGAAAACGAATTTTAATCCTGACTTCTATGATTCTCAGAATAGTAGAACTTAAATTTATTAAAGACTTCAGCTAAAAGTACAAAATATGGAATATATGAATTTATTTCCAGTGTCGTGGGAATCATGGGGATAATGCATAAATTAGAATCACAGGCTAATTTTTATCCTAACGCCTGGTTCAGTAAATTTTATGGACTAATTATTATTCAACAGCAAAGAGGATGTTATTATTTCGAAGAAAATACCGCTCCTGTCGGGTACGATTTGCTTTAAGCTCTGATGGCTATGATAATCTTTATTCTCTTAATTTAAATTTTTAGACTATTTTAAACTCTTCTAATTTACAGATTCTGGTGAATACACGAAACAGCAAGGACAGATTTTAATGTATGCAAAACTAAATTAAGTAATACAAACTTTGCATATTAACTTCTGAATTAACGTCTGAAAAACGTCACTATTAGAAAGGGTTTGCCAAAGCATCGTTAAATATCTCAAAACGTAGTCCTTTGGTGACATAAGGCATGACAAACTATATCTGTCATTAAAAAAAATGAATCTTTGGTACAAAAATAGAAATTACGACTCTTTGGTATTACATTATATTTATCAAAGAGTCATATGCGCCTTACTCCAGAAATAATTACTCCTTATTTACTTTATTTTGAGAATACAAAATTTATAGATATTGTAACAGAAATTAAAAATTTCTAATAGAAATTAAAAAATTCTGTTATATTGTTACTAAATTTCAGAGTGTATAATATGCATTTCCTTCTCGAAGAACATCTAATTAATATTTAGTTTATATACGTACAAAATTTGATTGCTAAACAATTACAGTTGCTTGAATTGTTTTGTATTCCGAGATTTACTACATTTGCTATCTGCAGTTCGTATATCTGCCATATACATTTGCTTTTATTTTCATTTGTAAGAAGATACCGAAGTGGTCTAAAGAATTTAGAACTATGCTAGCTGAACCATTTGTGGGTAAATGATTCGTGCAGATGGTTTTGCAGAACTTATTCCACGAACGAGAATGCCTTTATTGGAGTAAAATGGCGAGAGTCGTTTTGATCGATTTTAATATCCAAGGCAAATTATAAAGTTATACCTCCTTAAATAGCTTTATTCAGTATTTTACATCTATATTTGACGTATTATATTTTGCAACCCGTTTCCATTTTTCACTTGAGGCAAACGCCTCAAATGAAACTCCATCGCCCACTCGTTTACCTCATCGTCCACTCGGTTGTGCAGATTACATTTGGATGTAAATTAAAAATTAGAAAGATGGCAAAAATATGAATCATATTAAAACAAATTTCTTTTCTGGAAGTGAATTCGTTAGAAAAGGAAGGGAATGATTAGAAAAGGCAGTAAATTATAGAGAGGCAATAAATTAATTAAAAAGGGAAACAAATTCAGCAAATTTTGTAAACTTATTGTCTATACTACTAATTTCTGTAACATAGCTTGATTTCTTTAATCTCTTCTGAATAATACTATGCATTTTATAATATTCCTTTGCCATTTAAAAATGTTAATTTAATTAAGGAGAATGAAAACTTACCTCTCCATTGAGAAAGCAGTATAAAACAGCAACGATGAAACCCTAAAAAAAGAAAAGTTGTTAATTTATTTAATCATCCACTGTTAGACATTATTCATAATGAATTATTATCTTAACTAACAGGAAACTATCAGCATTAGATATGATCTTACAGACACCTGATATTGTCAACTGATAAAAAATATTTGGAGAACAGGAAATGTACAAGAACCTTACAGATGATATTGCAGTTAGTGGAAACTAAGGAATTTTCAAACAGCAAACTGTGTACTAAAAAACGTAAATGTAAGAGGACATAATTTAAAATAATTGTTCAATAAAGAATCTGACATTTTTTAATGGTATTGCGTCGATAGTACATAAAGTAAATTTTTATTCTTGAATATTATATTATTTTGAAAACTGTATATTTGTCAAATTTGTTCTCTAAGTGGTAGTATAGTTTTGTCATTTCCATGCGAGGTAAAGCAACGAAAGTAAGCTTATTTCTCGTTGAATATTCGAACAAAATGAATACTGTTACAACATACAATATCCTCCTGATTTAGCTCAAGTAAAATGGCTACAGAAACATAGGAAAATATTTCAGACAAGGTAAGGATACTCTTACGTAATACTTCGAGGATAGTAGGCTTCTCAGAAGGTGGATCATCAAACGGTTAAAAAATAGTAAAAGGATATTAGTACCAAGTTCCTAACAATAGTAAACAAGCAAGGCTTCGAGCAAGAGTAAGAATTATTCTTGGAGGGAAATATAAGTCTTATTCTCCGTTGAACACATATATACACATATATTACACACACATCCGTTGAATATATGCACATATTAATAGCATCACGTACTTTGGATACTAAAAATAATTGATAAACTCGTTTCTTAGTTTTGAAGCTATCGGTTAACAAAGATGGAGGTTTCTTTCAGAATTTATATTGTATGAGTAATTTAACAGAAACATAACATGCAGTAAAAAGAATTAATTATTTCATTTTAAATCTTTAGTGAACAAAGGTATTCACTTTCAGTTTATGTTACCGATATTTTTTTAAATGTTCTTTGTGTAGAAAAATACAAGATTTCTTAAATAAAAGCATATACAAATCGAGAAAAACACGCTAATTTAATTTGTTTTGGCACAGTGGGCTTGTTTAGAGTAGTATGACATGCACCACTATGCAATATGTTACATACACGCTAATAAAAGAAGTGTTGCATTGAAATTTGATCAAGATATATTTTTATTTGTGAAACCCTGTATATTTTCATAATAATATGGGAAGGCATTACCAGTTGACCCATGGTACATCGCTGGTGTCCCCCATATTTAACCTGTACCTGTATATTTTCATCGGGGAGTGCCAATAAAGGGAGAAGATTACATGACTTAATCTCAAAAGTCAACAAGGAAGAAGTAAGTAGAAACCTATTTCTTAATTTTTATACGACAGGCCACGGATCATTTTTAACACACTTTTTCGAAAGGGGCATCTCAAACATAGATACTTGCGCATGTGGGGAAAGGGACGTCATTTGCCATTACATATTTAATTTCAGCCTTACAGAAGAAAACCAAATGAGATTCCTTTTAAAAGGAGGAACCTTTTAAAAGATTTTTAATTAAAACGAAACAACAGCGAGAAAACATACGCAAAATACTGAAGTATCTGCAAAATATTGATAGAGATCTTGGTCGGATCCCCACTGAAAGAATGAAAGCAAATGGTTATAATATAGTACAAACAGGAAGAGACAATAAATGATGTGAATAGAATATTACGAAGTTAACTGCAAAGAGACTGTCAGATAAAAAGTGAAACTATGCAACTAACGAAGGAAATATCATGAGGTCATGCAAAGTTATTGTGGAACCCACAAGAGTCATGATAGAATAATAATAACAATAATAATAATAAAAAAGCAAAATACCAGAAGAAACGCTACAAGTCTATACACACCGTGCAAAATTATAAAGCAAAATATTAAGAAATCCCAAAAGATTGGAAATAAATGTTGGCATCATGTTTAGACTTGGGCGCATGGACGGAGAACTCCGTGTGCTGCTGGTGGATTGCAGGGCGATGCCGTGTGGTCCTTTTTATGATCATGTAATCCGAAATCATGTGATTTTCGGGGATACGTTTTCTTCATGTCATGTATATTTGTATGCCACCCAGCCGATATAGTAGTTAATGACGCTGACTGACTGACAGATGATCACGGATTCGAATCTCGGAGCAAGTTTTGATGTTTTTTAAGCACATGGTGTCTACGTGGCAAATGAAGCACTCAAAGACACTATGAGATGAAAGTCCTGTTCTTTAAAATGAGGCGAAACTCCACAGTTAGTGGTGCAGGACTATACCTACGACCGAATGGTAAAATTCTGGAGTTCTGCCTACTTCTACGTATATCTGACTGATTGCAATAAATTTGCTTCCTAATCCATGCAGGCGCACAGATACTTTACTCATATTAATTCATATTTTTTGAAAGCAAAGCACTCCCATTTTTTAAGACTATTTTTAAATCTCGAAAACATCTGTTTCCTATCATACAAACCACTGAAGTACTGTACCATCGCATGCCTACATGAGAAAATAAGGAGGAATTAAAATATCATCAGCAGGCTATTGCATCATTTTTAGAACTGTCGTCTTTTGAGAGAGGAACAAAATACACCTATTTTGCTTTTAAACGATAAATATGTTCATGTAGAATACGTAAAAAAAGTTTGTAAAAAAAAAAAAAAGAAAACAATTAAGGGACGCCATGCGCCAAAAAAAATATTTTTCGTTGTACTGAAAAATTGCGAATAAAATTCTAACTTGGGGGAAGACGACCATAGTTGATAACACACATTTATTACTATTTACAAATATAGATTACATTAGGATTACAATTAATGAAAATGGTATACGAGCGATCGAGCGACGTCTGCTCCGCTCGCCAGCTAATCCTCGTCTTCTCCCGAAGGCGGGAAACACATGCTGACGCAATGCATACGTCACACAGTAGGGGATTAGGGAATATCATGACATAACATTTCCCACATTCGGCCATCATGACCGGACAGGCGACCTCGCCTGAAGCAACATAGTATATCATCAAATTAAAAAAAAATTATTATAATATAGTAACATAGGTATGAAAAAAATAATCTGTAGATACAAAGCTGAGGATACTTACACAAATGGAGCAAAAAAATAGATTAAACACACCACAGCAGTTAACTAAAAATAAAAAGAACATTAGTATGACAAAATGAATTAAAAAGTTGATATGAGGAAAAAAAAATTATTAGAAAGTTCTCAGGTGTCATCTGTCCAAACTCAGGAGGACCTATAATGCTGACAGTTGAATAAAAATCAAGTGATACGTTCAATATTGTTGGACCAGGGCTTCATGTATTCAGCACAAGTGGATGTTTTGGATGGTCCGTCGAAAAATGCACACTTTTCCACATCATATGTGTCATTTTGTTTGAGCCTGGTGACTTTATAAGGTCCGAGAAATTTCTGTTTGAGTTTTAGACCAGGGCCAAACTGAGTTCGTTTGATAGCCACGAGGTCATGAAGTTGAAATTTTTGTGCCTGTTTTCGTCGCAAATTATAAGTACGGCGATTTTCGTCTTGCACTTTAGAGATTTGCTGTTTTGCGTCCTTACGGAGATCGTCACGTTGCTGAATGAATGCAGATTTGATCTCCTCGTCGATTAGAGCAGCGATGTTTATGTCGTTTTGCGATTTCATTTTAGTCCCAAAGAGAAGTTCAAAGGGAGTGGAATTGATGCTACGTTGAAAAGTTGAATTAATAATTTGTTGCACGGCGGGAACATGGCGGTACCATTGCTCAGGGTTGGTTATGGAGAGTTTAGAAAGGACAGCAATAATAATGGAGTTCAAACGCTCAACTTGACCGTTCGATCGTGGGAGGCCAGCTGTAATAAGAACGTGCTTTATTCTCTGTGTGTCACAATAGTTTGCAAATGCAGTGGATTTGAATGCAGGGCCTCGATCAGAGATAATCCGTGAAGGATTTCCGAAGACTGATCTTTGAGATTCCAGCCGACTGATAACTTCATCTGCGTCTGTAGACTTTGTCGGATAAAGCCACACGAATTTAGTAAACGAGTCTATAACTGCCAAAATATGTTTGTATTTCTTTGATGTGGTGGCAAGGCAAGGGGACCTAGGTGGTCGATATGGTACGTGTGCAAGGGTGCGTCGTCTTTGTCAATGGGGTGCAGAAGTCCGTCTTGTTTGCCACGCTTTCGATTATTGAGGATGCATGGGATGCAGTTATGGATACACCGCTCAATTTTTTCTTTCAGATTTGGGATAAAATATTCGTTGTTTAAAAGTTCTTGAGTGCGGATTACGGCGAAGTGGCCTCGTTCGTGAGCTGTTTTAATGACATTTGCCTGCATATCCTCAGGCACCACAAGTAAGTAAGTCAATGCCGTTGACGGTTTTGCACAGGAGATTGTTCTTAACGAGAAAGTTATCATACGAAGGCGTTGTTTGAAGGAGTGCTTTAATAGCCGTAATATGCTCGTCGGTTTCTTGTGCTTTGCGAAATTGGAGAAGGACACTGTCTTGGATAGTCATGCAACATGGACTGCGACTGAGGGCATCCACGTGAGCCATCTTTGAGCCGGTACGGTGCTCAATTTCGTAGTCAAAATCTTGGAGATATAAAACCCATCGGGCTATTCTCGAATTGAGTTCCTTTTTATTTAAAGTTTGCACAAAAGCGTTGCAGTCAGTGATAATTTTAAAATGTGAACCAAGGACGTAAATACGGAACTTTTTTAAAGCTTCAACAATTGCAAGGACTTCGAGTTCATAACTGGTGTATTTACGCTCGTTGTCCGATGTTTTCTTTGACATGTAGTAGACAGGGTGAAAGCTGTTATCGTTCATAGATTTTTGTAGTAGGACTGCCCCCAAGCCATCAATGGATGCGTCGGTATGAATTTCGATAGGACTCTTTTGATTAAAAATACTTAAAACTGGTTGTTGAGAAAGCAAATATTTTAATCTGTGAAATGCGGCTTTCTGATCAGCATGAAATTGAAAGGGGGTGTCCTTACGAAGGAGATCACTAAGGGGTTTTGCAATGCTAGAATATGAGGGGATGAATTTCCTAAAATATCCCGTGAGACCGAGAAAGCGTTGGACGTCTTTCGTACTCTTAGGTTCGGGGTAGTTAATTACAGATTTTGTTTTCGAAGGGGAAGGAAAAAGTTTACCACCTTCAACGATATGTCCAAGAAATTCGATTTTTTTTGTGAAGAAATTGACATTTACGAAAATTAACTTCTAGACCATATTCACTAGCAACTTTGAGTACTTGGTTGAGACGATGAATGGCCTCATTTTCATTTTTGGCGGGAATAACTACACATCGTCCATGTAGGGTAAAACATAACCTTTGACAATTAAATCACGAAAAACATAATTTATAAAGCGCTGGAATACTGAAGGGCAATTTGAAAGACCAAATGGCATTCGAAGAAACTGGAATTGTCCGTTTGTGAGTTACAAAAGCTGTATATGGTTTACTTTCGTCCGCTACTGGCACATGAAAAAAGCCGTTACGTAGGTCAAGAGTACTAAAAATTTGCGCGTCTTGAAGTTTATCCAAAATGTCATCAATAAGAGGAAGAGGAAAATGATCCTTAATTAAAAGTCGATTAAGTTTCCTATAATCGATGCAAACACGGGGTGTACCATCTTTTTTACGCACCACGAGAACTTGACTGGCATATGGAGATGAACAAGGTTCAATAATTTTAAGTTTCAACCATTCATTTATTTGTTTGTCAACAATTTCCCGTTCAACAAAAGGAAGGCGTCTAGGAGGGTGAAAAATCGGCTTATCATCGGACAGAGTGATATTAAGTTTAACATCTGTCGTCTTTGTTTTATTTGGGACATAAGAATTCAGCAAACGTTCTGCCGCAACACGACTTTCTTTGGAAACATTTGAACCAATATCAAAAGCTGGAACATCGTCATTTATTGCAAAAATGAAAGATTCAGGAGTAGTTTCGAAGAGTAGTTCAGGAGTAGCTCGGGACGTTTTGAAAAATATATATACCATCTGGTGTAATAGTTAATTTAGCATTTTTAATTACGTCACATCCTACAGTACGAGAAAATTGCATAGAATGATTTGGAACAACTCTAATATTAGCCGAAAAGTCCTGGTTATCAATGTTGATAATTGTTTGAAAACAGCGAATAATAAGAATTTTCGAGAATCCGAAACCAGTTAACACTCCAGAATTATTTGAAAGTGGTGGGGAACCAAGTTGAATCCATGTGTTTTCGTTCAGTAATGTGACCTCACTTCCAGTGTCAATTAATCCAGAAACTGTGCTATTGAGTATAACGACAGTTTTACACATATTACCGTGAGAGGTTTGTACTGTATTTACTTCGGCAGGTGGAGTGGAAGTCTCATTTGATGTAGTGGGGCGGCAATCCATAGATTTATGTCCAAAACGACCACAAGTTAGACACTTTGGGCCAAGAGAACGATTAGGACAAGACCGTGAGAGGTGTCCGACCTCATTGCAGTTAAAACAAGTTTGTGGTTTAGTTTTAGATGGACCAGTATTATTAAATTTCGTGTCGTGTTGTTGGTCTGAATTTTTTTCGTCCAGTACCACGTCTGGGGCCATTATTCGTATTTTTAAAATTTGATGGATGAGAGATATTTGTATGTCTAGTCGTAACTACAGATTCATAAGTGCGTAGCTTTTCCTTGAATTCAGAATATGATTTTGCACCGTAGAGAATAATTTTATCGGATGGGGTACCTAGTATTCCTTGAATGGTATACTGAATGACAGAAGCCTCGTCGATAACACCGTCACCACGATTCGCAATTTCGCGCATTGCGATAAAATATTGCAAAGAGCTTTCATTCGAGCGCATTTTTCTTCTTTCGAGTTGTTTATGAATTTCAATAGACGTAATTTTATCGGAGAACTCATTAAGTAATACTGTTTTAAACATGTCGTATGAATTGAGATTCCGTTGTGAAAACAAAAAAGTTTTAGCAGTACCCACAACAAGTCGTTTCGCAAAAACTAATTTTTGCTGGTCGGTAAGATTTGGGAATAATTGGAAATTATCCTCTATATCGTTGAAAAAAGCACGGACTGAATAGGAATCATTGCCTGAAAAGTTTCTGCAAGTGTTTGAAAGATCTCTCAAAATAAACCATAAGTCATGACTCATCTCGCGAATCTCGGTGTTCGCCGTCATATAAACACCGGAGCGACTCGAATTCAAATTTATTACTTCCGCGTCAGAAGAAACAACGCGCGATTTGGGCTTGGCGCCGTGGAGGGAGGGGAAGGGGGAACAGAAGAACTTAGACCTACAGGCGTCGGTGCACTGTCGGTGTTTGAAATTGAATGATCGTCATCGGATAAAAAACTAACATCTAGGGAATTGTGAAAATCCGTCAGATTAGTGAGCGCATGAAAAATTTTTTCACATAAAACATCTTTATTAGTGGAAGCTTCCAAATGCAATAAATTCGCCACTGATAT